CATGGACACATTTTGCGTGTAAGATGTTTACAGGGAACAGACCCCTGCCAACAGTAACTGCCAAAGCATGCATTGTAATCCCAACAGAAGGTTGTTTGGTTTAGGCCAAAACTGTGCCAAGGATCATTCTGGCAATTTAACAGTTGCCCTCTGTCTTGGTTCGACAAGACAGGAGTCTGTGAAAGAGGGCAAAGCCTCCTGTGCAATGGAGAACGGCAAACCCCCCTCCCTCTGAATTACCAGGATCTTTAAATTAAAAGGCTCTCAGGCAAAGATATGGGAGTGGGAGTAACAATTCTTTACTAGGAGAAAACTAGACAACAATTTAAAAAGGCAAATGCAATTGGTACAAACAAAACCAGTGAAAGAAAAAGTCCAGAACCTGAGGGGTGCCAGTATCAGTTCTGCTGGGACAATTGCTTCCCTTGCAGTGACTGATGAATTGTAGCTGCAGTGGTGATTTTTAGAAGGGTATAGTTTTCCTCTGAAGATCTGGTGGCAGTGGGGCCGGTCTTCCTCTGCGCCGGGGTTGCCTCTGAGCTCCGCTGCTGTCGCCTCAGCACGCGCCGGCTGCTTCGCTGCGAGTGCCGCCGAAGAGAGAGAGAGAGCTGCTTCTCTCGGAGTCCCGCGAAGAGAGAGCGAGCTGCTTCTCTCGGAGTCCCGCTTAGAGAGCTGCCTCCTCTCCCCAAAAAGCTACCCCTTTAAACAACAATAGAGTGCTTGGCTTCCCCCCTCTGGGTGGGACCCCTCACGGTGTTACATTTACCAGCCCTGTATTGGATCAGTCAATGGTGTATAAACAAACCATTGCCTCTACAGGGCAAACCATTGTCTCTGAGAGAGATAACAAAAACCTGTCCAACCGGTTTGCCTTCAACAGATGGCAAATGGAATACAAGCTTATCTTACAATCCAGGACACCCTCTAGTGCCATTCACAGCATCATCCAAGTCAGCAGTGTAGATGAAGTCAAAGTTTGTCAGAACATACTTATTTTTAAATTTATTTTATTCCACTACATCTGTCTGAAGCCATTAGCAGCTTCTAAAATAAATTCCATAGTCACAAATCAACACCTTTTTTTGTTATGATTTTAATGTGGCTGTACAAATTGCAATTTTGTAAGCCAACCTGCAGAGTGCAAATAGTGAAAGAGAAATTTTTCCTTGAACCATACATCTGAGCAAGAGGAGTAATTATGGGTGTCTGTCATTCCAGTCTCAATATCTGCAGAGCCACTGGGGTGCCATCTGTTAAATTAACTCCTGGAACCTGGATATCCTCCCTCCTGACAGGACAACTCCTTGCTTATTTTTTACTCATGATCTTGTGCAAGTTTGGTCTTCACAACCTACAAGAGATCAGCCCTTCATTTATGTTGCTAAAGCACATGCAACCAACTGTCTCAAATAAAAATACTTAGGTGGGACCTATTGGGATGATTTGTAAGATGAGGACCTTCATTTCCTGACCTCACATGAAATAGGGAGGAGTTGTATTTTCACCTTCTCAGTTGTCTCCACCTTCCCCTGTTACTTCAGGTTCTTTAAAATCCATACAAGTTACAGTACCACTTGCAAGAGTAATTCTTTTTCCAAATTTGCCATTAATATTATTATAAAGAATGTTTCCGAAATTTCTGAAATGAGCTATAAAATACTCCAGGACTGAAAAAAACCCAGTTCATCAATAATTTAAGATTATTTACTTATAAAAATTGAGACATGACTTTATACAAGTGAAAGTACCTTCATGGGATAAAATACTTGATGCTGACTCTCTAGCTTATCAGAAAAATGTGCAGCAAAAACCAATATGTGGAGTTAAAAACAGACAATGCCAATCAAAAATCATGATTTTTAAAGCTCGAAATTACTATAATAGAACGAACTTTCAAAGAGCAGTAGCTGATTCTCTGCTTCTTAATGGGATTTCCAACTAAGACTGTCTGCATTTCCAGGAAGTGTACTTCAGGTGAGCATAATTACTGAATGCAATACATAAGTAGCTGGATAAAATGAAGTGGTCTCTGTTGGGTACTTAGAGAAGATGAATTAGGTATTTTTGGCCCTGAAAAGTGCGAGTCTATGAGAAGCAAGAGGAAGTCATTACTGAATCTATTAAATCCACTTCTGTTCAGGTTATGAGCATGAGATTATGAGGCTGTGCTGCTCATACCAGAAATACTCTTCACTTCTTTGACCATTCAGGAAGTCAGCAAAGAGCCTAGAAATAAAGAGCTCTCCAGAGCAGTGTGACATCGTAACCCAGCCACTTCCACCTGTCATATGGAGCATGGGTGAGCTTCTTTAACAGAAGCCAGAGAAAATAAATAGAAGCACAAAGCTACCTACATAGCTTTGGGCATGCCGACTTACCAGCCCAGCCTTTAGAGTTCAGCTTTTCACATACTGAACTGAATGGTTTGATTAGATTTGCAGCAACAGTAAAACTAATATGATATTAGATTAATAAAGAGATTTTATATTATTAGGTAGTGAGTTGGATTGTTTCATTTGTTCCTTATGTTTATACACCTTCTTGTAAATCATTCAATGCGTTTATCTTAAATAGGAAAATGGTGACAGTAAAGACTGCACAATGTAGAAGTTGGAAAACCAGCCTCCTTAGACTTGGTCTGCTAATATATACTTGATCATATTATTCTTCATATTCTTGATTATATCTCCAACTGGTTCTTAGTGTATTTTTCTATCTTCACAGTTTGTTTTCATTTTTGGCTCTGTTATTCTTTGGCACTGAACTGGTAACAGTGAAACCACACCTTGCTGTGTTGTAATTGCTGAAAGCCTGGCTGCATGGTTACTATTTGCCAATGTCTACTAACTTCCACTTCTAACGATATAATAAGCAGTGGATACACCCTTATGAAAGTATTGTGCAGAATGAGAATGAGCTGTGTCTGGCAGTTACAGTAAGAATCAGGGTAATGCCATCTGGATAATGAAAGGCACACAGAATTTGTGGGACGATTAGGCTCCTGCACGGTGGGGGTGTAGGGAGGCAGAGATCTCTGAAGCTTGCTCTTGGGGAGAGAGATTTATTGGAGAATTCAGGAATGCCCGAGCCTCGTGCTCTCAGGCGTAGCACGTGGCCGGGCTTAGGAGGACGGGGGAGGGGAGAGAGAAACGGAGGGTTTAGGAGAGGGGAAGCCCCAGAGGGGGAGGGAGTCCAAGAGAGGAGGAGAGGGCCAAGAGAGGAGGAGAGGGCCAAGAGAGGGAGGAAGTCCAAGAGACTGCATGGCCCCTCAGAGCCCCCTTTTCAGGGGCTCCCAGGTGGGCTGGGACAAGGCATGGGCCAATGGGGTTACAGACTCTGATTGTTTTAGGGGCAGGTACAGAGGTGCGGGATGAACCACAATCTTTTGCGGGGTGGGATGGAACAGTCCATTTCACTCCATGATTCATCCAAGGGTAGAAGTGACATTCGGCTAGCTAAGATAACAATCATATCTATCTATCCTCTGCAACAAGAATTTATATTGGTCATTAGAGCTAAAGATGTGAAATCCAGCACCTGAAGTGCCAGCAGGAATTGGAGAGGAGACACAAGGAGGGTTGGTCATGAATTGAGCAGACTGGTGGCTGCTAGATCTGCAAGGAGTCAATGTGAGGAAGGACAGATGTGTAATGTGGGGCAGAGCATGTGAACTGAACATAGGATTAAATATGTTTGTGGATTAAAGCAGAATGTTTGAAGTACCTCAAGTATAATATGCTCAGTGTAGTTATCAGGTGACAAGGTGCAGCAAAAAGGACTGTTCTCTAAACTGGAAGCTAACACCAAATGCTATGGCTTGTGGGTTTTTCTACGTACACATCCGTGGTTTTCATAGTTTAACCAGCATAGCATCTGATTAACATACACTTATTTTCTATTTGCTACATACCTCCTCCCCACCCTCTAAATTCATCATAAATGCATTGAGATTACTTGACAAGACTCCTCTTGACTTCAGAAAAGTTGATTGCAACCTTTTCTTAGATTTCAAGAGAATATTAATTTGCTACTATTTTGTGTGAGATTTCATCAGCATCATGCAAGAGGAGATCCTGGGGTGTGTGTTTTCTCATATTGTTTCTTCAGATTTTGCTGCTCTGAAGTATACGCCTGAGGAGACAACAGAAGTTTAGCAAGAGAAAGACAGCTTCAATATTTACCCAGCGCTCAGGAGATCTATGTTCACTTCTCAGATCTGCCAGAAACTCCCCAGGCAGTTTTGAGCAAGCCAATCAGTCAGTTTCTCCCCGTGTGCCTGTTTAGTTGAATGGCAATTATAGCGCTGCACGCTGTCACGATTTCCTGGCTGGCGAGCAGGCTGGTGTGCTGGGGACTGTCACTTCCCTCAGCACTACAGTAGAGTGAGCTTCAAGTTTAAAATAGCCCCAGGGAGCCCAAGTGAGGGGAGCGTGCATCACCAGCCCTGCCAGAGCTTGGCTGGCAGCAGCTTTGCGCAGAGCCCACGTACGCCTGGGGCACAGCGAGCTGTAGCTGTGATGGAGCACTGCTGACGCACAGCCCATGAGGCTGGCACACTCCTGGCCTGACCCTAAACCCCACAGGCCACGCTGCCTTTGTGACTCTGCTGTTGAAACATACGACTTTTGATTTACTCATGCTGGTATTCTTTAAGGAATAGTTTGTCGTTCTTCTTGCTTAAGTTACAAGCATCTTTTGTTGTTCTTCTATTTACTTTTTTTGTGTACTTGCAAGCCTGGTATACCACTAGTGATAAGGGAGAGGCCATGATATTCTTTATTTCTGTTTTGCCAGGCTGCTCTGACCATCCTACAGGAAGTCAAAATCTCTATGTTCAGTACTTCAGGCTTTTGATTACTTCCTTTCTGGAACTGCTGAGCCTGCCTTCCTAAGGGATTGGCTGTACCAAGAGATGTATCAAGCTTACTGATTGCTATTTTGTTTATTGTGCTCCTTTTGTGTCTCTTGAGTGCATCCAGTGAAATCATCCATCATGCTGTCCATTTGGGAACATCTGGGGAGCTGGAGCAAAGGTGGAAGAGTGGAAAGGAACAGGAGGGGGTAAGCATGTGAACCAAAAACTGCATCTCTGGAGCAGTAGCTCTAAAGTCATATTGTCCCCTGTAAGCAGATGTCCTTCCATGTAAAGCAGGGCTGCCAGCAGCCCTCCCCAGAGGCTTGACTCAGCTTGAACACTTGAGCAGAGCGGAGAGACCTTTCCTGCCAAGTCTCCTCTTGGGTCACAGTGGCAGAAGATTTGGCTTTCCTCGATCATTTCACTATCAGCTGCACTCTCCACTCACAGGAAGCTTACAGGACTGGTCTGAAGCCAACACAGCTGAACACAGCTGAGACTTGGCATGGGCTGGGGGAAGAGTAGGGGAATAACTTCTCTGTGGCGATATTCTGTCATTTTCTCTAGGTTTTTCCTTCTCCATGCCTGTTGAGAGTAGTGGAATCTAAGCTCTGTTTCAGAAATATGCCACTTGCCAGTCTCTTGAAGAACCACATACTTTTGTTCAAGTTAGTAGTATTGTAATCATCTTACTAGAGTAAGATCAACATGATTTTCACAGAATTAGAGTATAGCTCTAGCTAAGTGCTGACTACATAAAGAAAAGGAACAAACTGAGAACATTTTGACTTGGCATCAATGGCAGGAGAAAAACACTTTGCCTGCATTAAGCCATATGACAAGTCCCATAACTTAAGAAATTCTACATATTGGCAAGAATACAGAACTCATACACTTTTAAAACTCAGCAAATATCTACTTTCAACTTTATAGAATTTCTAAAAATGTCTAATTGTGATAGCAAGTGGAATATGAATTCAGATGAGCTTAAATTAAATTTCTAAAACTAGAATGAGCATTTAAATTAGTGCATACCGAGGAACAACTCAAACTAAATTTTGGGCCCTCTTAGGAAACATTCTGAATTCATGTATTACATGTCAAAGTAGCATATATTTTTACAAATACCTAGGCAATTCAGCATGTATGAAATTGTAAATATGTGTTTCTACAAGTAAGTAGAACTAGTACCATTAGGCAGAGGCATGATTATTGTTAGTGCTTGTAATATCTTCTGGAATAATAAAAACAAGCTGGGTCTATTATGCCCCTTTTCATTATGTTTTATTTTATTTTACTTAGGCAATTTAATTTTCTTCATCTGTTGTATAATATAATCATTTGAACAGAAAATTTATGATACTGAAATGTTAGAGGCAACTACAAAAGAGCACAGTCATAACTGAGGATTTTTTTAAATGGGGGGGGAAAGACTTTTGCTGATATTGTATTTTTTTTCCAATTTAACACTTTTTTTTCTCTCTAAATAATTGGAAAGAATTTTTCTCTTTTGTTAGGAGTTGAAAGTAAAATATGTAAAAATGTCCTGCTGATGTACATACATTGTTCTGTCACAGCCTGGGCTGAAAGCCCCACTTTTCTCTGAAAGTCATTAACATATGCCAAAGATCTTGTGGAAGGCCTGATAGAGGATCAAAGTCTATCCTAACAGCCTTGAGGGTCTTGTCATGGAGACATGCCTTCTCACTGGCTTCACCCCAGTAATCACAGAAAGCTAAAATATATCAAGAGTAGTGGGAAAACAGCCACTCCTGAGATATGCCCCATATTGTGACAAAAACAGTGAACTGCATTAGGACTGTAAAAAAAAATTAAGGATAATATCATTTATTTATAATCATCAAAGCATCTCCAGTGGAACTCATCTGACAAAGGAGTGTTACATTAGGACACATAACAATGGTACCAGAAATTTGCCAGGAGATTTAACTGGAAAAATGCCTTTCCATTTTCAGGCACTCCCCACAATGGCAAGAGCAAAAAGAAATTAAATTCAAAAACTGAAAAAGAGATTGTGGGGAAAAAAACCCATTTAATCTGGCAGTGCTGCTGGCAGTTGGCTAACATTTTTATGCCATGTAGCTGTGTGGTTTCTCTGTTCTGGTAACCCCTGCCTGAGCATGGCCTGCAGAGAAATCTGTATTGATCTCATGAGTCATTCCCAGGAGATGGCAAATGTGACTAAAAGCCTGGAATACAAGATATATGTTACAGGATGAAAACCAAAAGAAGTGGAGGGTGTTTAAAAAGTAGCCAGGAGATTAACTATAGAGAGACGGTGTAAGGAAATGGGCATGAAGGAGAGATGCAGAACATGATCACATTTATATAAAAATTACCCTTTGCTCCTGTTGTCCTCCAGAGCTGCTGCTGGAGTGCAGGAACTCTATGGCAACCCTGCAGGGAGCTGAAGGAAGAGACAGTTGTCTCACTGGTCCCAACCCCGAGACAAGGAGACTACTAATGGTCCCTCTGGCACGCGACTACCATTCTCCATTACACAAGTACCACAGACTTCAGATATCTGTGCAATAGTTTGCTTGGCACATGGCTGACATTGTCCTGCTATTTATGAAATCAATAAAAGCCTTCTTGTTTCTTGAGCATATGTACTTAATTAAAAGGCTTATTGAAGCACACTTGTCGTTCTTAAAACATGTGGACATCTTTTGGGATGGACAGACAAATTTTCAATGTCACAGAAGGTCATATTCAATTACAAATACCATAGCATGCTAACATGTGTACAGCAACTTCAACATGACAGTGGGACATAATGGGCACATAATTAAAAGGGTTGGGGGCTTTTTGTGAATCAGTGCATGAAGAAGTACTGGGTCACACCTGATGCTTCTGCACCCTGGGTTTGAAGATAGAAGTGCCTCCATGCACTTGTCCAGCTGACAGAAGCACTGAGAAGTCACCTCTCCTTCTCTCCTTCTCTCCTTCTCTCCTTCTCTCCTTCTCTCCTTCTCTCCTTCTCTCCTTCTCTGCTAAGAGGAGTTTTCTGCTGTCCCACCACCCACCGAGTAGGCATTTGCCTTTAGAAGATTCTAAAACACAATATGCATTGGTAACACAAGGCAGACATTTCTCAAATGCTTCAAGCCATGTCCTGACATGTTTCCATTTTTCTTTCCCTCTTCCAGAATTCATGCATATTTTTAAAAAATGGGTCTGTAGCTCAGAAGAGATCTTTCTCAGATTTCCACTTACTGAGAAGCCTGTCACCCTGAAAGCAGATAAAATCAAAATAACAGTAGTACTAACACACCATTTAATGTCTGCAATGTGAGGCTGTGGACAGTGAGGGAGATGCAATATATATGCAACCAAACGAAACATCTTGGCATGAGAAGCTATTCCAGTACTTTGTAGACCATGTAGCCTGAAGCAATTCAGGGACAGAAATATAGAAATGTGTTTTCAGGTTCAGTTCAGTATTTTGACAGAAGAGAAACAAATAAAGAGAAAAAATTAGTCAGTATTAGTCAAAAATGCATTACAAAAGGGTGTTTTAATTTAAAATGTGAAAAAATGCTGAAGCTGCTTAAATCTGTAAAGCATAAATTAATATATCATTCACAATTTTTAAAATATCCTATTTTACCTAGTTTCTATTTTGTTGGGAAAAAAAGCCACTAAACAATTATTTGTTTATCTCTACCTGAGGCTGCCTGCTGTATGGCATTTCTTGTTCTCTTTCAGTTTTAATTCCTTTTTTGCACTTACACTCCATCTTACTATCTCTATCTCATTCTATACCATTATTTTTAGATTAAAAGAACCCATATTTTTAGTTACTCTGAATCTAATAGTGAAACGTGATGAGAAGAAGATATTTTATATAAATGTGCCATTTTGTTTGGACAGCAGAGATATCATTCTCGGCTATGTTTTTTAACAACACTTCCCAACCAAATTGGGATAAAAAGCAACATAAATGTTAGTCTTGAAAATTAATGCAATGCTACCAAAACCAAGTTTTAAAAGCACAGCAGCCTATTCTATACTAAGTTATTGTGGTGTATAACTTCAGCCAGTGTGGGCTTTTAATTTTATGTTACAAACTTTGGAAGGTGACAAAAGTACACTAAACATATTAAAGACAAATATATTACCACTGATTTATTAATTTAGAAATGTGGATCAGTTGGCCAATTACCTTTTCATCTTTCTCTATGCAAAACTTAGTAAGAACAAATTGTATTAGAACTAAGCACTTGCTTAACATCTGTTGGTTAGCGCAATTACATTTAAAGTCTTGTCTTCATTTCCTAAAGGACAAGTTAGACATACCTTCAGCCATGGTGTCACTGAACTTCCACTTCTGTCTGCTGTACAATTGATTGAAACATCACTGTATTCTTGCATTTTTCTTCATGGAAGAAATTAAAACAGGTTTGGCAGTGAAGGAATGTTGCAGCAGAAAGGTTCACAAGATAAGTGCTGGATGAAAACCAAGACTACCATTGTAGCAAAAAAAAAAATTATCTAACTTGATTTTATTTTAAATTTAAAATGTGTTTTAAATTTAACTGCAGTTCCAGGACAGCATTTCTTTGCTTTATGCAACAGTGGCTAGCAATACTGAGATTTATTTCAGGAAAATCAACTCAAGTTTTCTTTGGGTTTGTAAAGTCTTTTCCCTCACCATAGCACTATCAGTTTGGACTGAATAGGGTTTCCTTTTGTATTTTTCCATGCTCTTTGCTCAGTTGAAAGGCATCAAATAAATTGTCATTTGTTGAGAGACTGGCATCTAGCAGTCACTGTTAAAAGTCAAAGCAAACTTTGCCGCCACAGAGAAGCTTAATTTTTCTAATGGGTGTGTATGGTAGGATGCTGAGTGAGGTTGGAAATTTACCAGTTCTAGTAGATATTAAGCACCGGATGACTTTGCAGCTTTCATTTTTTTCTGAAATTACAGTGCTTTTAGAAGTATTTTCTTTTGGATTCTTAGGGAAGTCTAAGAAAGTCTGACCTGCATGTGTGGGAGGAGGCTTTGATGTACTTCTGCTTTGTATTCCTGTCACCTGGAGCAGTGACTCATGAAGTACATGTACCTACAACATGCTGGCTCCCGTGGAAACCCTGCTGACTCCCTTCCTGTGAGCATCTCCCTGGATGCTCTTGCCAAGGGGATGCTCAGACATGAGGTGCAGGGACAGATGTGGGATAATGCCACAGACACTCATGCTAACCATTGGACACTGGGTATTCATGGATCTGGAGTTCCCCAGCAGCTGAGCTGTGCTAGGCCCATGTAGCTTTGTCCTTCCTTGATGAGAGTATTTTTAAGCTACTATTCCTTTCCATGTGAGAAGCAAAGAGGTTACCCCCAAAAATAAATGGCCTCTTTCCAGCCATCACTATTAAAGGTGTTGTAAGGAACGTGGGAAGGCCGTGTGTCATAGTTCCAATGAATGCCAGTGAGAAATGGGTACCTAAGCACCCAAGGTGCCTTGGAAAATCCCAGACACTTATGAAATCAAGCAGCTCTCAGCTGTCCTTACATGTTCCAGCAGAGGCTGTCTCTCATTTGCAGGCTCCAGACTGTCTCTCTTTTCAGCGTGGGAACAGTGATGCTTCAAGGAGCGACGACACGTTCCTGGTGCATGACAATGTAAAACCCTTGCTGCTCTAAAAGCATCTATGGCCTGACATATGGGGACAACAGATCCCACTGAAGATAGGTTCATACTCTGGGTGTCAAAATGTTTCCCAAGGACTGGGCTTCCTGTTCAAGCTTTTGCTATTTTCCCTGGTTTATATTTTGCCACTCTTTTTTTTTTTTTGCATTCTTTTGCTGCTAGCTATTTTTCATTAGTATCTCTGGTCAGCAGGAACCTACCCTGCTTCAATTTTACAAGAATTTTGACAATTGAAATTGACCCCATCGTGTGTTTCAAAGTGAATCACAACAATTCTTCATTTATTACAAGCTTTGAATTGCTGAGACATCTGACCCAAATTATGGCTTCAGCTAGCATGAACAGGAATTTACTCAATGAAAATCAGTTCCTCCTAAAGAGTTTGTTTCATCCATGCAACATTTTTAAATTCAAGTTTGAAGACTAGTAAGGACCCTGTATTATCACTTACCACCAACTGTTGATTTCCTCCACTATTTTAAAAACAGATGGAAAACCAATTTCCCTGAAATTTCATTCATTTGTATCAATACTAAAAAAAGATTCAAAATAATAATACTTTAATGACTTAAAATGAAAATGGGAGATTCCTGTCCAACTCCCTCAGTTTCTTTTCATCCTTCCCATTTCCCTTTCCATTTTTTTAATGCCAGCAATGTTGCTGTCTATGCCTGTCTATGTCTGTGCTGCTGTTTCTATGTCTACAAGATTCAAAATGTAAGAATTTGCCTTGGGATTTAATTTATTTTTTCACCAGCTCAGAATTTGATCGCAGCTGAATCATCTCAGCAACAGGTCTTGCATCCCACATCAGATTCCAGAGAACGGGTGCAGTTTATCTGCAGACAGGTGTGCTGTCTCCATCCCAGGCTGTCTGAACCTGGGATGGTGGTACCCATCTGATGGTTGTCGAAGACCACCCTAGGTCGCGGGTTGACTTCGTGTGGTGGAAAAACTTCTCCTCCAACCCGTGCTTCCAAAGAAAGGCTCAGCGGTCTCTTGTTGTTCGGTCTCATGGTTGTTTATTGCAAGCTATCTAAAAGATTGTTTTCTCAGACTGCTGCGGTTTGCTCAGCAGCTCAGGCAGAGGCAGACATACCTCTGACACCCTCTCTGTCTGCTGTCTTCTTCTTCTCTCCTCCCACCCCTGGCTGCTGCTATCTTTTATATGGTACATTACGTGATACATGTTTACAGTTTTTCCCCAATAACTACTACCTATATTAAATGGTGCTTTTCTGCTCTAAACCAATCTGTGCGTGCCAACATCACCGAGAACATGGAGGTAAGGAAGAAGAAAGAGGAAGGACAGGACCGGCCAAAATTCCTCCATCTTAAAACCTCTGACCCCCATGTACAAACAGAAAACCCCTGTACAAGCATTAAAACCCCCCTGTACAGCACTAAAAACTTCTTCCCTCTACTTTGTAACTACTTCTACTATAATATCTAAACTTTTGTGACTTCTTGTTCTTCCTGCAAGGTTGGTAAATCATTCCAAACTCAAAATCACAGCTGTTTCCAGCTGCCTGCCAGGGTCTCAAATGCTTCTGACCAGGGCCTGGAACCTCCAAAAATGTCTGAGGGACATTTTGAGTTCTCACAATGGTAGTACACATCTGCCCCATACTGAAGAATTTTACTGGGACCTCACTTGCCTCTAGACAGATGAAGTGCACTGATTTCAGCTCTAGGGTGCCTTCTGCCAGCCTTTCCTTAGCAGGCAAAACCCCATATTCAGGCTCTTCCAAGTACTGAAACTAGTGGCACAGGTCACTCAGAGCCCTTCTTGGCTAGCCTCACTTCTTGGAAGTCCTCCTGTTCTTGGGAAATCTCATCTCATAGCTTATTTCCTCTGGATAAAAAGAGTAAAAAAGAATGCAAGGCCACTTTAATTTCCTAGGAAATTATACACAAAAGTACCCTGAACTGTGATGTGCACACACCCAGTC